ATGTGCAAATTTTTTATTCTTGTTTATAAATTTTTTCTCACCACTCGTAAAAGGGGCTAGCTAGCTGATAAATGTGTGTACAATTATCATTAATTTTTAAATTGCCTCCATAATTGTAGTCTTTCGGTGCTACAGAGTCTACGAAGAAATAGAATAAAGTTTTTAAAAATTTACAGTTTAATGTTAATAACTGGATTGTAAAAGTTTTTATTAATAACTGGATCATAAAAGTAATTTGTTATTGTTATTATTAACTCGTGTAGCGAAAATTAGCGCTACAACTGAAAAAATTAATAATAAAATAGTTTAATTATTACCATCAACATTAGCATTAGGAATATTTTTTGTTATTTTAATATTTCTGGTATTTCTTTTCTTTTTTTTCTTCTTTTGGTTTCATTTTTCGATATTTCCTTTTATTTGACGCCATTTTAATAAAATTAATAAATTCTTTTTTGTCACAGTAAAGTGTATGTTAATCCATTCTAAGAAATAAATATTTATATCCGTATAATATTTATATATATACGTAGAAAGTCTCCTATTATAAGATAAACTCCTAATATGAGATAGCGGAGTTTCTATTAAATTAATATGCATTATCTGTTGGTTCCACCATGAATTTATTGCCCTTGGAGTGAAATCTCTTTAGTGAAAAATTTATTGATAGATGGTACAATCATTGCGAAAAAAGATTTGCGATTGAATTTGGGTGTTAAAAACCTCCTATTTCATATTAGACTCCTATCTCATAATAGAGGACATTCCTCTATAATATTGGTATATTATACGCATTTCCTCATACACCAATTTATATGTATATGTACCTATATATATTTACCGAACAATCCTTTAAATAATATGGGATTAATTGTTGGTCTATTCGTCCTTTTTCCCGTTGCAGAATAATTAGCAATACTCGAATCTAAAATAAGCAACGACACCCGCACCCGCTACGAAGGCCGGCTCAGCATCATCGTCCATGTTCCGACAAAAGCCTAAAACGATCTGCCTGAAATGCAAGCATCATCCTAGAAACCTGCTGAACAAGTTTTCGCAGTTGCTGGAGAGGAAAGCTTTTAGCGATATGACACTTGCTTGCGACGGAAGAACTTTGCGGGCGCACAAGGTAAACAGAGCAGACAGAGATCATCGCGATAATAACGCGACGTCAATGAGGCGCTTTCTCATATCCCGCGTGCATATCTTGCAGGAAAAAGACGGCCGTCGCATGAATACGTGAATTATTAACTTTTCAACTTGATTAAATTTGAATAACGTAACTACCGCGGACTCGGTTTGACCTCGCTAAATAAATGGCGTAATATCGCGAATTGAAAAGCGATTGCATTTTTCATTAACCGCACGCCGAGCATTACGAATGCGCATGATGATTCCGTTCGAGGGAAAGGAAAAGAAAAGGCGTGACGATAGTGCAGCATCTTCCACGCCGGCGATTCCGCGTGAGCCTTATCTTCGTTTAGGCTTAGACTTCCCCGGCAACTTGGTCGCAATTAAGGATGTATCTGAGCTATTTCAAAATAGTACCAAATTGATGAAACTTCGGGAAACACTTCCTTTGTTATCTGTAATATACTGAAAAAAATTTTAAGTAGATTTACTAAATCGTTAGAGAGTAATTATTATTTCAATTATGTCTGATTTTACACGTGTTCTTATGGGAAACGCAATTTTCTTGAATGAAATAAGTAATAAAGTATAGAAAAAATAGTACCAAAATTTTAATTTTTTTTATACATATAGACCATGGATTATTGGAACTTTGTGCAAAATTCGATTAGGTTTCACAACACGGTTTAGGAGAAATTAATTATTATTCATGACAATTTTGCGGTTTCTGTAATATGTCAATTACTGGACTGTAGAAGTGCGGCAACGTCGCAATCAGCTGAACGTGTCAAACGAATAACCTGACCGATACAGTAGTCACGTCGTAAAGTCTCGTTTTATCTGTATTGTTTTCATTTAGAGAACAAGAATAAAAATTAAATAATTTTGATAAACAACATAAACTCTGGTTTCTCGCTCACATTTTCCTCCATGGTAGGCTCAGTTTTTTCTTCTTGTACAATTTGAACTTTTCTTCTTAAAAATCCACATCTTTGTTGCGCAAGTCTCTTTCGATACGTACTTTCGCTAATTATTTTGCCTTTCCACCGATACATTTTTGTGGCTTTTGACATTGCGATGCAGGACTAAACAGAAGTTAGCTCGCAATGTCAAAAGTGCATTGCTATCAACCTTGAAGCCATAAACTTAATGTCGCGCTATTGCCACGTTTAACCCGTTTCATCGAGGGTCAAATATTAATATTAATAACAAATAATATTCATAGTTATTGTTTAAATAATGCATATTTACCTTTTTAACTATATTCCAATTACTTTTTCTGTATTACACTGTTAAATAATGGTGTTAAATAAATAAGAAATTTGATGTTCTAAGGTTGCATTCTGGGCATTTTCACTGCCAAAAGTTTTATTGTAAAAAGTTGTAAAATGGCAAATAAACCTAATAAAGTGCTGAAAAATGTGAAAAATAACTTTTTAAAATAAATATATTATGTTAGTTATCATTTATATCAGTTATCACTAGGTTTACTGCACGTTTAGCGTAGATATGCCAGTTTTTCGAATTTGGGGGATTTTTGTCAATGATTGTATCTCAGATACATCCTTAACACCCGCCTGTTATCGATATGTCCGACACGTAACGCCTCGTGCGGCTGTTCATAGCGCATGTAGAATTTTAAGTTGCGACTTCTGCGCTACGCGCTTTATTTTACACGGCTCCCTTCGCGCTCTTCGCAGATAAAATCGTCGCATAAATGATTAACAATCGCGCCCGGCTCGCGTGTTCGCAGTTTATATTGTCGGCGTACAGCACGTTTTTTGATACGATCCTATCGGAGAATAAGGAGAAGGACCCTGTCATCATCCTCCGTGACGTCAAATTTTCTGACCTAGAAGTGCTGATTGACTTCATGTATAAAGGAGAGGTCAATATTGATTACGTGAGTATTAATACATCTCCCGCGAGTGATTTCTCTTCGCGGCTGATTTTCGTATCGTTACCGATTCCGCGAGCGCAACCCGCTGCGGAAATTTATTCCAGGGAGAAAATTGGGTGGGAAGATGTCATTTCTCAGATTAATGGAAATCTGAAAAGTGAGAGAGGCAAGAGAGGGGAAAATATAAGAGAGTGAAAGAGAAAATAGAAAAGAGCGCGGAAACGGAGGTCTGATTAGAGTGTGGGGGAGAAGTTTAGTTGGATTGTTCTGAATTAATTCGGAGTTGTAAATTAGTTAAGTTGCGAATCTAGACGTAAGCTGGATTGTAAATTGAAAAGAGGGCGAATGTGACGCGGTAATCTTGCAGATTGATTGAGGAACAATAAAGACGACACGGAAATACGAAAATTTTGCGAAGCAATTGTGTCCGAAAACAAATTACGCGAATACGCTCCAAATAACGACAGGATTCCTAAAGGCCCGTGTCCACGACGCTGGAACTTGGTCCAGGTTCTAGTCCCGAGAAATGTGTAGCCAATCAAGTTGTAGTTTTTACGAAATAGCTAGAACCTGGACCAAGTTCTAGCATCGTGGACAAAGGCCTTAAGGGGTCCTTCCACTTTAACGGCCCAAAAACTATGCTTATCTTTAGCCATTTTTTTTACAGTACATACACCATACAACGAAATTAATCTTTTGGGGATTTAGGGCACTCTTAAATAACACAAAAAAAATGTTTGTCACGATTTAAACGATTCTTTAATTAAGCGTTTTCTACATCGTTCGAATGGCGTGTCAAAAAAGATGCAAGTCCGCTGCTTTGATGACTTTTATCATTCAGGCTTACCTTGCATCTTTTTTGACACGCCATTCGAACGGTGTAAAAAACGCTTAATTAAAAGAGTGTTTAAATTATGACAAAGTTTTTTGTGTTATTTAAGAGTGACCTAACAAATCCCAAAAATATTTATTTCGTTGCATGATATATTTCCTGTGCAAAAAATTATTAAAGATGAGCATAGTTTTTGGGCCGTTAAAGTGGAATGACCGCTTAAGAGGCCGATGAAGGGCTCGGTGAGCCCTTTCCTTTCATCGGTTGAATTGTTAGTCGCTGAAGCCTCCAACTTTTCCTAAGAAAGTGTCTTTTTAAATAATTTCTTAACAAATTTATTGTAATTTTTGTTGAATTTTTTGTTGTTCTATCAGATCACTGAAGAAGACCCGAACGTGGGTCGAACCGTTTGGACAAAAGAATATATTTTCCACATTTTAAACCACGCACTGTTTATTAGCACATTGGCCTGGCCTCGATTCTTTATTTTCCTAAGAAAGATTGACAATCGAGACTGACGTGAATGTAAAACGCGAATTAAATATTGTCGAGCACGATAATCTCTTTCTCTCTAACAATAAGCCGTATCTTAGATATATTTTCACTTCGTGCTCATTAATGTTGCTATTTGCGGCGGGCGTTTTATTACATCGCCGTGAAATAAAGTTAAGCAGTAAAACCCCGCCATTCTTCAGACAATAAATCCCCGCCTTCCTCAGCACTTTTTCAATAACAACAATTTCGCGTAGATAACAGCCGCGGCGCTTTGTGACAGCCATGGTTAACGAGAGAACTTTACGGTACCTATTATCTTGCAAAAAAAACTAACGTCTCTCATTTGCGCCGACGACAATCGTAAGTTCGAGCTCGCCGAGGCGTGTTATGACAAGAGACAGCCGTATATAACATGTGTCAGGAATATCGATCTGTCAAGGTGGATTCCTAGTCGGAAAACAAAAAATGAGGGAACGTGGCGAGTACCCGGTCAGGAAATCGATAAGAATATAGGCAGTCGTGTCCGGCGTTTGGACGATTTCGAAGTCGACTTCTCGTTTTCTGCGCGAAAATTTCGAGGTAGACCTACCTCGTGCACGGGATATTTAATATAAAATTTTATTTTTAATTAACTTAAAATGGGCTCTATTATAATAGGAAATTTTTTTTCGGAGCGCCACTAAAAACGATACAACTTTAGTGTTTAACTTTTTTTCGGTAAATGTTCACTTTAGGGGAGTCAGCTCCGATGACCTTGACCTTGACATATGTTGTGCAGGTTACCCTCCTGAG